CCCCTCCCCATCCCCGCTGCGAGCATGCGCAGGCACCGCCCCTACCCCCTCCGGTTCGGTTCGTTTCCGGTTTGTTTGCTGAGCTGTCAATGAAAGACCCGTGTAATTATTCCCGAGCTTTACAATAAAAGTGTGAAAACCGGAGCCCACTCCGCTTCTTCCGGGTCCTCGGGCCTGCGTCCCGTGGAGAGTGGGAGCTAAATCTGGAGACCTTGGAAAGGGCTGGGGGACGCGAGGGACAAGAGACTGAGACCCGCACTGGTATTAATCGGGGATGGGGTCGAGCTGACGCGTTCTGAGGACAGACCCCTAGTCCATACACCTCAAAGAGACCCCTGCCGGATCCTCTGGGCCCGATCTGCTGTGGGCACCCCCTCCCCCAAGAACTCAGGTGCAGGACGGGGTGGGAGGTGACCGCCGGGGAGGTTTTGTGCTGCGCTGCCTTCTTCCCCGGGCGACCCCAGGACGTGCAGTCGTTCCCGGGTGTATCCATTACCGCTCCCCACTCTTTGGCAACGAGTGTGAATTGCGGAACTGGATGGGATGAGGGGCGGGAGACATCTTTCTGTCTGTCGCGTTCTCCCACGCTCAGGAACGAGGGTTGGAAGTCGATTTAGGGGAAAGGAACAGAAAAGGTCTCAGCCTTGGTCTCCGACTGCGCTCCCCTCCCCCCTTCCGGGCTCGACCGGCCCCGGCCTCCTCCGTCCGGCTCCCGGGTAAACACCGGCTCCGGAGAGGTCGGAAAACAGAGACCGGATCAGCCGGTTCCTGGCCCCGCCTCCCAGGGCGCTGCTCCCTCCTCCGTCCCTCCCCACCAACCCGCTCCGCGTCGCGCGCTTTTGCTCGGCCAGCGTCCTCGCTCCCTAGGCCGGTACTGTGTGGGCCTCGCTCCGGACCCCGAGGTCGGTCCAGCCGCTGGGATTAGCCGACCGCAGGGACTAATCCCGGATGAGCCTCGTGTAAACCCGGATCGACCGCGGGGACGGCGGGGGTTGCTGGCACCCCTTCATCCGTTCCCAGACGCGGAGCATCGCGGGGCCTAGAGCCCACCCCGAGGCTCCTTGCTGCTTTCGGAGAGACCCGAGTTGTATCTGCAGCTGGGGGCGGAGCGGGGCAGGAGATGAAGAAGGCAGGGCCGGGATCTGACGCGCCGAGAGCCTGGCCGCGGGGTGCCCGGGGTGTGGGGCGGAAAGGCAGAGATCTCTCGGGCAGTATTTGAATCTACGGGGTTAACTCAGCTCCCTAGCTCAGTCTGCAACCGAAGCTCCCTACCTATCCTTCAGTTACAGAATCACAGACCCTCCCCCTACCAGTGGCTGTGGCAACCCTTTCCTAAACCTGAGGCCTCACCTCATTAGAAGAGGCGCTGAATCAGCGGGGGAGGGCCCCGCATTGTCTCCACCCCTGACTTGACCCTACAGTGAAAGGTGAGTTCCTTCTGTTAAGGCCTAGCCCAGGAAAAGGTGTCTGAAGTTAAGGAAGTTGGAGGAGATGTGGTGGCCGACTGGGTACCAGAATCCTGTCACTGGTTGATTTACTCATTCTACAAACATTTCCTGAGCCCCTCCCATGTGCCAGACCCGCACAGGGTACTGGACCCCAAGAATGACACACAGTCTCTGTGGGAAAGGCAGACAGGTAAACAATGACCACATCTTGTGTTTGGCCCTGCCTTGAGCCGGAAATTCTGGCAGGAGACCCAAAGGCGCTGTCCTCTCCAAAGTCTAGAGGCTTCCTGGAAGGGGTGGTGCCAGAGCTGAGTTTCAAAGGGCAAATGAGGGATAGGCTACTGAGGAAGGGGTCAGCCTTGCAAGCTGAGGAGGAGTGTGTGCCAGGGACTGGAGGTGGAGGAGGAGGTGAGGTGGCTCAGGACAGGAGAAGCTGGAGAAGAAGGCAGGGGCCACAACTAACGACCTGCTGGTCAATTTAAAGTGCTCGGATTGAGGGGTTGGGGAGGAGCCACTTACAGATTTTAAGCCTATAAAAGAAAAGGTCAGATTTACATTCTTCCAGATTCTGTGTTCCTCCCTTCGCTGCCCCAGGTTTCTCTGGGTTTGCTTGGATTGGGAGTGGAGATACACAGGCAGACAGACAGGAAGAGGAACCACGTGCAGTTTAGACTGGTTAAGAATGGTCCCTGGCTGGTCAGGGTGGCTCACACCTGTAATCCCAGCACTTTGGGAGGCCAAGCTGGGCAGATCACGAGGTGAGGAGTTCAAAACCAGCCTGGCCAACATGGGGAAACCCCATCTC